GAGAGAGAGAGAGAGAGAGAGAGATAAAGGAGAGAGAGAGAGAGAGGGAGAGATAAAGGAGAGAGAGAGGGAGGGAGAGAGACCATGGGATGAGCTGGTGAACTGAGACAGTGAATGAAGACGGCGACTGAACGTTTGACTCTGATACAAACATTTACACAACAGCTCGTTTATCCCACACATGATTATTAATGTGTGTCCTAGTCCACACTCCTCCTGGTTTCCATGGTAATCGTATTAATTAATTCAATTCAGTCTCAGCTGAGAGCAGGAAGTTTAACGTACATGTTGAAAAACAAACCATTAGAGACAATAATATTTATTATATACAGTATATTAATGTAATATTTATTTATTATAATATTTCAACACCAAAGACAAAATGGCTGGAGAAGAAAAAGAAAAAAGTAATAACAATATATATAAAATATGTCAAGGAAAAAAGTTGTAATTTCTTTAGAAAAATGTTTGTAATATTTAATAGTATTTAGTAATATAATATTAATATCTAGAGAAAAAATATACTGTATCTTAAGGAAAAAGTCAAAATATTTGCAGACAAAAAAGACTTAAGAATATTTGTGACAAAAAGTTACAAAAGATGATGTGAAAGAAAAAAATCACAGTATTTAAAAAAACTGAAATAATTAGAAAATAGTTTTAATATCTGAAGCAGGAAGTCATAATATGAGTCAGTGCTGACACTGGACAGCTGCTGACTGTTGAGTGTGTTTATTGTTGTTGTTTATTGTTGTTTATTGTTGTTGTTGCAGAGTGAGGAGGATGACACTAGGAGTGTGACTGCTTCCTCTGTCATGGTGAGTTCATACAAACATCATCTGTACAGGTGTGTGTGTCAGTGTGTGTTACTGTGTGTTACTGTGTGTCAGTGTGTGTCACTGTGTGTTACTGTGTGTGTCAGTGTGTGTCACTGTGTGTTACTGTGTGTGTCACTGTGTGTCACTGTGTGTTACTGTGTGTCAGTGTGTGTCACTGTGTGTCACTGTGTGTTACTGTGTGTGTCACTGTGTGTGTCACTGTGTGTTACTGTGTGTGTCACTGTGTGTTACTGTGTGTGTCACTGTGTTACTGTGTGTGTCAGTGTGTGTTACTGTGTGTTACTGTGTGTGTCAGTGTGTGTCACTGTGTGTTAGTGTGTGTGTCAGTGTGTGTGTTACTGTGTGTGTCACTGTGTGTTACTGTGTGTGTCAGTGTGTGTGTCACTGTGTTACTGTGTGTGTCACTGTGTGTCACTGTGTGTTACTGTGTGTGTCAGTGTGTGTGTCACTGTGTGTTACTGTGTGTGTGTGTGTTTTAGTGTGTGTCAGTGTGTGTGTCACTGTGTGTTACTATGTGTGTGTGTTTGTGTGTTTTAGTGTGTGTCACTGTGTTACTGTGTGTGTCACTGTGTGTGTGTCACTGTGTGTTACTGTGTGTGTCAGTGTGTGTGTGTTAGTGTGTTTTAGTGTGTGTCAGTGTGTGTGTGTCACTGTGTGTTACTGTGTGTGTCAGTGTGTGTGTGTCACTGTGTGTTACTGTGTGTCAGTGTGTGTGTGTTACTGTGTGTTACTGTGTGTGTCAGTGTGTGTGTCACTGTGTTACTGTGTGTGTCAGTGTGTGTGTGTGTGTGTCAGTGTGTGTGTATTTGTGTGTCAGTGTGTGTGTCAGTGTGTCAGTGTGTGTGTGTATTAGTGTGTGTGTCAGTGTATCTGTGTTTTGGTGTGTGTATATGTCAGTGTATGTGTGTGTTAGTGTGTGTGTGTCAGTGTGTGTATATTTGTGTGTCAGTGTGTGTGTCAGTGTGTGTGTATTAGTGTGTGTGTCAGTGTGTGTGTGTATTAGTGTGCGTGTCAGTGTATCTGTGTTTTGGTGTGTGTATATGTCAGTGTATGTGTGTGTTAGCGTGTGTGTGTGTGTCAGTGTGTGTGTCAGTGTGTCAGTGTGTGTGTGTATTAGTGTGCGTGTCAGTGTCTGTGTGTGTCAGTGCATGTGTGTGTTAGTGTGTGTGTCAGTGTGTGTGTGTGTCTGTGTGTGTGTGTGTGTGTGTGTGTATTAGTGTGTGTGTCAGTGTGTGTGTGTATTAGTGTGCGTGTCAGTGTATCTGTGTTTTGGTGTGTGTATATGTCAGTGTATGTGTGTGTTAGCGTGTGTGTGTGTGTCAGTGTGTGTGTCAGTGTGTCAGTGTGTGTGTGTATTAGTGTGCGTGTCAGTGTCTGTGTGTGTCAGTGCATGTGTGTGTTAGTGTGTGTGTCAGTGTGTGTGTGTGTCTGTGTGTGTGTGTGTGTGTGTGTGTATTAGTGTGTGTATCAGTGTATGTGTGTGTGTTGGTCAGTGTATGTGTGTGATAGTGTGTGTGTCAGTGTGTGTGTGTGTCTGTGTGTGTCAGTGGGTGTGTGTGTGTGTGTGTGTATTAGTGTGTGTATCAGTGTATGTGTGTGTGTGGGTCAGTGTATGTGTGTGATAGTGTGTGTGTCAGTGTGTGTGTGTGTCTGTGTGTGTCAGTGTGTGTGTGTGTGTTTGTGTATTTTCTGAACAGCAGAGAGCCCCCCCCCAACACACACGCACACACACACCCCTCCCCCTCCCTGACAGGACACAGCGCTGGCTGCTCATTGGCTGTGAGGCCTCCCACAGGTGGAGGTGCTCCTCTCTGGCTGCAGCAGTGAGTCTGTGTTGCCCCCCCCCCTCTCAGTGTGCTGTCAGGCTGAAGGACAGCCTCCCTCTGGTTGTGGGGGGGGTGTAATTAACATGGAGGTCTGAGGTAAACAGAAAGGACGGCAGGTCTCTGATTAAAGACCTGGTGGTGCTTCAGTGTCCTGCTGCCCAATAAACACCACTAATGGCATCAGCCCCCCCACCCCCCACCCCCCACCCCACCACGGCTAGAGGACAATGAGGACGCAGGTGTGTGGTGGAAAAAATACCAACACATGACATCACAGGCTGGAGGAGGGGCTACAGAGACACAGAGACAGAGACAGTAAACACCCCCCCCCCCCCCCCCCCCCCCCCCCCCCCCCCCCCCCCCCCCCCAGTCTCNGAGACAGTAAACCCCCCCCCCCCCAGTCTCTGTTCCACAGGCTGCAGCTGGATCCTCTGGAGAAGGACTGGCTGAGGAGTTCTGCTCTGGGGAACATGGCCGCTCAGCGTCAGCTGCTCACTCAGGACCCCAGTCTGGTTCTGAAGAAGGTACAGACCAGACCAGACCAGACCAGACCAGACCAGACCAGACCAGACCAGACCAATCCAGACCAGACCAGACCAGTCCAGACCCTAACCCGAGACTTTCTCCTCCTCCTCCCTCTCTGCTCTCGTCAGGACTTCATCACTGTGAGTATGTCAGCTGGTGTTTTAGTGACTGGTGTGAACCCAGTTTAAACTGGTGTAGATGAAGATGTCCTGTATCAAGTTTGTCCTTCGTTTCCTGGACAACGTGTGTGAGTGTGTGTGTGTGTGTGTGAGTGTGTGTGAGTGTGTGTGTGTGTGTGAGTGTGTGTGAGTGTGTGAGTGTGTGTGTGTGAGTGTGTATGTGTGAGTGAGTGTGTGTGAGTGTGTGTGTGTGAGTGTGTGTGAGTGTGTGTGTGTGTCTGTCTGTGTGTATTGAAGTGTTGATCCTGTCTCTCTGTCTCTGGCCCCTCCCCCTCCTGTGACGACTTCCTGTGATGTAACCCTGCTGTGCATGAAGGGGGTGAGTTGTCTTCTCCTTTCAGTTCGTTAACACTGATCGTCTTAACGACACATTACACTCACTTCTGCCTGAGTCAGCTGAGCAATGACATCATCACAGAGAGCGGCCTCCTCACCTCCGTGCTGCCTTCATAGCAGGTAGAGAGCGCGGGACGTTCGGACGTCTGCGGGCTCTCGTGAACACGGTCTGGACGTCCTGGACAGACAGAGCAGGTGTTAGTGTGCGAGGTGTGTCGCCTCGCGTCAGGCGGTCTGACAGCTGACACACCGCTGAGCGCCGTCCTCCATCACAAACATCTTTAGTTTTATCATTACGCTCCTCCTCTGTCTGCACGCGTCTGCCGCCACGTTAGAGTTAGCAGAGTGGACAGAGTACTGAACAACTGGCCCCCAAGAGGTGAGGGGCCTGAGGGGGAGGAGGGGGAGGAGGGGGAGGGACCCCAGGGTCAGAGCCTGTGTTTGAAATGACTGTTAATATATCTGGTTGGAAAGTTAATCAATCACAGACACAAAACAACCACAAAGAGAAAGTGGCTGTGCTGTTTGTAGTGTGTGTCTCAGTCTGGGGGGGGGGGGGGGGGGGGGCTGGTGTCATTGTGGGCGTCTTTGTAAGAGTGATGGGGGTGCTGGTCACGTGTCTGGTCCAGGACCCGTGGTGTCATGGTGAGCGGTCGGACGCTGCAGCAGGATGCAGACGAGCTGCTCATTAGACTCTGGAGTGATTTCAGAGAGACAATGGGGATGTGTAATGATATTGTAATTACATGGTAATTAATATGTGAGCAAACAGCAGCCGGAGGGAAGCGGCGCGGCGCGGCGGCAGATGGGAGGAACTGATAATCAGCAGAAGATCTTTCCTGTCCTCGTCTTTCTTGAAGACCTGATTTCACAGTGTGGATGTTGGTTCAGTCCGAGCCGAGAGACGACTCAACATATGTTCTTCAGATTCACTGTTGAGTCAGAGCGTGATTCTCCACCCGCTAAAAGAGACGGCGTCCCAACAGCACATATGGTCGTACTGTTGCAGGCCGGCTTTGAAAACCCTCCGCCAACGCCAGAAGTAGAATTTCACACGGCATTATGGGAGTCTAAGCTTCCTATTCAAGAGCCCGTGTAAAAGGACCCCTCCATATGGCCTCGCCTAATGCGCCCCCCCCCCCCCCCGTGCCCCCGTCCCCTCCCCCCATGGCTGCCATGGACCTCCCCATGCAGAAATAACAACATCAATAGTGTAACCCTCACGCCACTTGAGAGTGTTACACTCCTTTTCATGCTTCACTTCATCAAAACCGAAGGAGGGAAACTCACGCCTGTTTGATGTTTGATGCTTTTTCCCTGCTGCTTTCAAATGAGCGCCACTAACTCGCCGCTCAGCCGCCACCGTAGGGCCAACAGATGCCCGGCACACGGAGGCCGACTGTCGGTGGGCAGTTGGCAGTTTGTGCCGGGTCACTGTCACTGCTCCCCTCCGATGGCTTCAGCTGGAGCATCCTGCGGAGGCCGACAGGTGTCCGTCATGTTGGCGAATGTGTGAATGAGCTGCACGTGGCGTCTGTGGCTCGAGGCCGTCGACTGGTTTCCTGCTTCAACCATTGTTAACTAGTTTCACTAACCACACTGCTGTTCATGGAGGAACGTTCTTCAGACACGTGTTACTTGTCTAAACACACAGTGAGAATGCATCTTATTTTGAAAATATTCATGCAGAGCTGATGTTCACTGTTCACTGACAGGTTTCACACAAACCATCAACTTCCTGCCAAGAAAAAAAATCACGTATGAAGAAACAGGGTCACAGTTTGTACCTGCTGATCTGATATATACTATATGTGTATAAGTACTTTAGATATTACAGTAGCTCTGTAAGAAGAATAAATAATATACGCATGATTTATATTATAGACATATTTATATAACCTTGCAGAGTTCTGTAAATTCAAGAGATACATTTTATTTTCAGAGTTAAAGAAAAAACGTTATTGTCCATTAGATTTGCATAAAATGTAAATGTGTCTCTGACACAGCAAACACATAAATATATAAAATACACAATCTTACACATTGAACGCACAGACGACATGACGTGCACCACGTGCACCACGTGCACCACATGCACCACGTGCACCACATGCACAAGCTAAATCCAAATACATAGATTGTTACTACAGCTGATTCACTAGTGAAGCTGCTGGAACAAACTCTTTATACACTTTTATTCTACGAAGGAAGAAGCTGAGTCAGTCAGTGACACTGGAAGCAGCTCTATATATACACCTAATACACCATATACTGTACACACACACACACACACACACATATATATATATATATATATATATATATCATTGAGAATAAAACACTGTACAAACCAGGTCTGACTCAAACATTCACTGAAGGAAATTTGCTTCTTTCCTGTGGATCAAAACAACCTGGACAAGAATCACTTACAGCTCCTAATAGCAGAGCTGTGTGTGTGTGTGTGTGTGTGTGTGTGTGTGTGTGTGTGTGTGTGTGTGTGTGTGTGTGTGTGTGTGTGTGTGTGTGTGTGTGTGTCTCAGGTGGAGGCCAACACTATCTCAGCGAGTGTCGGAAGCGGCCGGCGGGCGAGGCGGGGTTCAGTTAGCACCTTCTAATGAAAACCGCCAAAATAAACCTCCATTTACCTTCTTTCTCAGCACGACGACAGGTTGTTTTGTTTTTTTTCCCGCCTCTCACCTGACGACCGCGTCCCGCTCCGTGTTCACGCTCTCGGTTGTCGGCTGAACGAGGAACAAGGCTGCGGTGTCATTAAATGGGCGGGAAACAGCAGAAAACATTGTTCCATTTGTTCGATCCAGTTTACAGAAGCAACGTGAGCTCTGAGCGGAAGCAGGTCCAGACCACCGGGACCGGGACCCGGGCCGGGACCGGGACCCCGACCGGGACCGGGACCCGGGCCGGGACCGGGACCGGGACCGGGACCGGGACCGGTCTATATTCCAACTTCCTGTTACATTTTATGAAGCTGAAACTTGAACATTTACTAAATGAATCATGTGAAGATGAAACAGGGACCGTCATCATGGAGCCGTGTTTAAACACATTAATTATTAAATATTATTATATTATGTAGTGTTTCATCAATGAATCCAACATGTCTGCCTGTTCTCCCTCCTGCTGCTCGTCCTCCGTGGAAACATCAAGTTTGTAAGTTCAGCAGTTTCACTCTGGTTTTATGAGTGTGTAGATCAGATGTGTTGGTGTGTTAGTTAGTGTGTTAGTTAGTGTGTTACTTAGTTACTGTGTTAGTTAGTGTGTTAGTTAGTTACTTTGTTAGTTAGTTTGTTAGTGAGTGAGTTACTTGAGAGAGATTTTATAATTTAATATCTTATATATATGATATTATATATATAAGTTTATCATGGAACAGTCGTTATACAAACATGAAGCTAAAACAAGTCAAAAGCAAAACTGACCAGTTTCACTGCTGTCAGGTAAAAACCAGGACCTGGACTACACAACATAACTAACATCAGACTAAGCTAAAACCACAGTAACTAAGTAAACACAACTAACACTTACTAGTAACTAAGTAACTAACTCAACTACATACACACTAACTAACAGTACCAAGTAACTTAAGGTAAACCAACTAACTACACCACTAACTAAACCTATATCAGGTAAATTTATATAGTAGAGAGACAGCGACTACATAACAACACTAAACTAAACGACCAGTAATAAGTAAACACACTTAACACCCACTAACTAACCACAGGTTAACCTAAGTTAAACACACTAAAACTAACACAACATA